GTCATTCCGATCAACCGTCAGATCTCTTATCGCCAAAGTGGCTTTAAAAAGATCCAGGACAAAGTCACACTCCAGGTTTGATTCCATATCTCACACTGATCACACTGAAATCACCGCTGAAAACTGTATTAAGTCAAAGCTGCCTGAAAAAGTAAGTAGACGCGTTAATGCAACCGTGAAACATCGAAGTACAACGTTAAAGTACTTTAAAGACGCAGGACTGGAATGAACACTTATTTCTGTACTACAAAAAATTCACACACACTCTCTCTTCTCTGCTGGTTTCTTGATGTTCTGTTGCTGTAAACAAAGAACCCTTTGCAGAACATGTGATGTGTGTCATCAGGAACCAATCAGGAGTCCCGTGGTTCGGGATTTTTCTGATAGAAATATCAACTTTCTTCTCCTTCTCCTACATCATCATCATTCAAACCTCCTTTGTACCTTCATGTCTGTGCCTTTACTGTGTGACCTTGCTGCCAGAATGACTGGTTTTGTCTGTGACTTTCCAGTATTTACTAGGACTCGTTAGCTCTAGTCCCTTTGAGCACGTTTTTGTTTTATTTTTATGAATATTATTAATTTAAAGTCTTATGTGACATCTTTTCTCATTATCTTTCTTATTACTATAAATATTTTATCTCATGACAACCTTTTCAAAATATATTGAGAATGAATATGAATACATATGTTGAACACAGAAGCTGGACGAGCTCTGTTTCCGTTCATGTCGTCCATGTTTGAAAGGATGCAGCGAGCAATTAGTTTGACTCTCTATGAATTGTATCATTTAGAAGAAACTAATTCGGAGTTCGAGAAATTGTCATATTTACTGACATCCAATTAAAAACAGCAATAAAAAACTAAAACAACCACATATATAAATATATGAAGTTTTTAGTTGAACTTCATTTTCGTTTGCATATATAAATATATATAAATATATGGAGTTTTTAGTTGAACTTCATTTTCGTTTTGTGCGCGGGAATTTTACATTTGACGTCAGCGACTTCCTGCAGGGAGTGCTAATGGATAGCCTAGCATCTATAGAGTGAGAGTGATTGACTGGCCTGCCTGCAGTCCAGATCTGTCTCCTATACTGAAAATGTTTGGCACGTCCTGACGAGAGGACTGAGACAAACACCTACATTAAGCCCGACTCTCAGATGTCGCAAATCAATAAAAAGTATTGCTAATACGAGTGACAGCAGGACGGTCAAATCCAGTGTCATCCCTGACATGAAACTACCTGACACAACAGGTGATGCCTTCATCAATGGACCGTCAGGTTTAATTTCTAGCCGCGTTAACGTTGTCCCACGAGGACCTCTTCGACTACTTTGACATTCAGAAAAACTTTTTTCCCGCAACTTAAGACTCGCCGTTTATCACCAACTGCGCTAGACTGGCGCTCCTGCTGTTCATTGATGAGCTCTGAATTATGACAACTCATCGCTGCAGCGCAGATGACACCAGTCACAAAGACGGGGAGTGAAAATGGCAAGATCATTTCAGGAGGGTGGATTTATAGACGGGGACAATTCAGAAACACCTTGACATTATAATTACAGGGACACATGCAGCAGAATCTATGTCCCTGAACTGGTCGTCAATCTTTGGACTGAAAAAGTCAACCGCACACGTATGCCGGAGACAGATGTTGTTTTAATGTTCTTGTAAAACAGCATCAGTCTTTCTGCAAGTTACCAGGAATGCTATTTATAGTGTTGTTCGCAAACTCCCTGTGCACTGACAGAAAACTTGCAGCAACATAAATCATAGATATTGAAAATGAAGCTTTTGGGGACTGACATTCTGATTTTTTTTTTTTTTGTGCGTGTGTGTGTGTCTCTGTTCTGGTGGAGTGCATTTTTTGTTTGTTTGTTTTGTTGTTTTTTTTAAGGATTATATGTGTAGTGTACCAATATATCTAACATGAAAACAAAGAAAAGAAAAAAATTAGCTAATTGGTTTACCACCTACTTGTGGTTAACCACAAAAGCTAAAAATTAGCCTAGCAAAAGCTAAGCTAAAGCTAAAGAACAGATAGAAGGAAAAACTGTTGTTGAAACTGTAAAATCTTGTGGAAGAAATAAAGCTAAATGTTAAAGAACAAAACAAGAGCAGCCAATCAACCAAACATGATTTAGCCTTTACATTAGCCAATAAAATGTTGAAATGCTAATACAAAGTAGCAGTGTAGTCTATAGGTTCAACTGAAATAGCTAAATGTAAAAATTTGTAACAAAATCAATTAACTTGAGACAGGAAAATAAATGTGTCAAGGGTCAAAAGTAGATAAAAGCCAAACTTCAATAAAGTGACAGAAAGATTGATGGGAAACCCCCTGTAAAAGTGACAAATTGTTGCTTCTTCACTGTTGGCAGATCCTGATGAATTAATGTTAAAAGCCAAGTAGGAAACCACACAAACCATTTCCAAGAGCCACGATTAGCACCAGGGGGCAGACTCTGGACAGGTACGGTTTGAAATAAGTGATGTCCTCCGAGTTAGGAGCCAACGACTTGGAAAAATGTGTAGATAAAAAAAAAAAAAAAAAAGTTGGCGTTGGATGTGCCCTGTAAATCTGCAGCCTTGCTAAAGCAGCTCGAGGTTAATTCCTTTACCCTGTCCGAGTTAAAAAAAACAAACAAAAAAAACGAGAGTTACAGCAATCGCCCTCTGTATATAATGTCTCACTCAGGAGGAATGTTTATGGCTGTGGGCATAAAAGCCTTGATATACAGTATAATAGGCAGAGAAGAACATATGTTCCAATAAAAAGCCTTCTGTTCCTGCTTCATTGTGCTCCCACGAGGAGGGCGTGGAGGTACTTAAGTTAGCGTGCGTCCCCCAGAGAGGAGCGTATAATGTTTATAAAGTGCTAACTGCTCCTCTGTCTCTGCCTTTCTTTTGTCCTCTGCATAAATGTTAAGTCCTCTTTGCTGAGCTGTTTATTAGGCCGCCGGCCCCGCTGCTCCAGTCGCTGCAAATGACCATGAATGGTTATAAATGTTTGGGCCGGCTCCTGCTCCATCATTGATGAAGTGCTGAGGGTCAGGAACCAGCCTCCTGCACTCGCACCTCGGCTCATTAAAGGCTCCAAAAAGCTACAGTGTGAGGTGCAACAGCGGAGGCTACGGGGAATAGCGGACAATAGTAGCGTTTTATCATCTTTTGGCTTCAGTGAAGCCGCTGCATGTTTCCTGGTCCTGCAGTGCTGCTGCTGTTTGAATCTAGCATGCACTCCTCCCACTCCAGGGATTCTTCTTCTTCTTCTTCTTCTTCTTCACGTTGTCTCCAACCCCCATGCCGCACTTTGTTCCTTTCTTCTCTTCTTCTTGGCAGGCAGCAACATGAAGGCGTGCAGCATTGTCCCGAGAACTTTTCACTCTTTTTTTTGTTGTTTTTTTTTCCCTGCTCACCCAAAAAGTCGCCCAACTTTGGAGGAGACAAACAAATTTATTTTCAGCACTTGATGTGAGACTTCTCTCCAAAAAACTTTCTGTTGCTCCTCCTTGTTTGGCCAAAGAGTTCCACAGAACACAATTAGTTTATACAGTTTTGTACCTGTTACGCAGGGCCAACAATATGTATAATGTATATACAGTATATGTATGTATATATATATGTATATATATAATATACTGTATATATATTTAGCTCTGTACTAATTTTATATCTGCTAGCACCATGCATATATAGCAAACTATATACATATATACTGTATGTTTATAAATAAGTTTATATATGTACATATATTAACTTTTATATATATATTTAAGTTTAAAATGACAATGAGACAAATATGAAAAAACAGAAAAATTAAAAATATGTAAAATGAAGTTACCAAATACCAAATTCATATCCAGAAGTAGTCTAGTAATGCCATCAATTAGCCAGAAGTCGAGAGCCGTAGCCTGAAAATAATACCAAATTCATATCCAGAAGTAGTCTAGAAATGCCATCAATTAGCCAGAAGTCGAGAGCCTTAGCCTGAAAATAGCCTAAAGCTAGCCAAACAAATGCACAAACAAGGAGATCCACCAACTTTTGTTGTTGTTCCAGCATTAATTTGAGTCCTGTTATTTTTCAAATCAAAATACTATTGAGAGAATAGTCCCTGTTAAATGTGTATAATATACAGAGTATTTTATATACACAGAAAACCTGTCCCAATGTATACCATTCACCGCAGCAGCGAGGGGGTCGGCCATGTTGGTTATACTCTGTCCTGTACACATTCTAAGACACGGTGGCGT